ATTATTAAAATAGATAAAATTTATTATTTTTTAATAATTTTAGTTTTTTTTTTAATTTTTTATCATTATTAAAATATTATAAATTATAATGTAATTAAATTATACAAAATTAAGTTTGAATGAGTAATTTAGTAATTGTATTAAATGTTAAGTGTTTTCTATTAAAACCACAGTCAAAAAGTTCTGAAATAAGGATTTTGGTTTTATATATAAAATTACTATAGATCTGTTGTGACTTTTTGTAATTTTTAAAAAAGTAGTTTAAAAAAAAATTATCAAAGACACATATATTTAAAAATACTATATAATTACATGAAAAAGTTCCCAATTGCAATCCCAAATGCACCCTTAGTATGTGTATATATAGAGTATATTATATATTAGCCTTGACTCCTATAAAAAATTGAAGTTCTAACTTCAAAGAAACATCACATTTTAATGAATATTTTCAAAAACCAAATATTAGATTTATTATTCTATTTTTTTATGGGTACTAATCTAAAATATTTGGAAGTCATATTGGACCTCCAACTAATCTAGAGTCAAGTCACATTGGACTCCATAAAGAAAAAACTTTCTTAATTCTTATTTCTTTATTCATAAGATTTGAACTTAATACATTATTTAAGGGAATCGATCTCCTTTCATTTAAATTAATAAGTCATTAGTTGAATTTATTATTTTATTTATATAGAACATGCATATTAATTTTTCATTTTGATTAAATATATCTAATTAGTTCGTTGATTATACAAAATTTAATATCATTAAAAATATGTTAAAAATTACAAATTTCTTGATTTAATTATTACAGAAGTTAGATTAATATGAAAATATACATGCATAATCTATATAAATAAAATCCAAAATCCAATCATTGATTTTTGAAAATACTCATTGGAGGGTGAAGTTCTTAAAGTTGATACTTTAATTTTTTAACAGGAGCTAGGATTAATGTACACTATTATCATATAAATTTTAGTCTTCAATGAGAGTTAAATGAAATGATGTAGTTTTGGGGTATTTTTTTCTTTTAAAAATGTGGCTGATAAATATTTTACTCTTTATATATATATACACGAAAAAGTGTTTTACAAGGCGAACTACACATTAATTCAACAGTTAGGTTTTGAAAATATTAATTACAATTTTAGTTTTAACAAATTCCCATTAAAAAAATTAAAATATCCTAAAGTTAGAAGTGAGACTATTTTAATATTTTATCATCGTATTTTATTGAAACTATATAATTTTAAATGTTTTTTTTACCTTATTTTTTTAAATTTAGTTGATAAATATTAATTTCATATAAATTTATTCGTGAGAATAATGTATATTATTTCTGACTCTATACAAAATTGAATCCCAACTTCAAAACAACACTTTCTAATAAATTTTTTTGAAAAATCAACTACTATTAATATAAATCATGGGTGCTAATTTTTAGTTTAATCTAACATTTATATAGTCTTTCAATTAAAAAATTGTACAGTTGAACATATATTTAACAATATTAAATTTTATGTAACTAATAAGTTCACGAGATATGTTCAATCAATTTAAAATTAATGTGTATAATCAGTATTAATAGATTATCAAATCTAAATGTTAACCAAGTTAACTATTAATGTTTTTCATGCATTTTTTTTTATGTATCAACTATATTAATTATAAAATGATTATCTAATTAATATTGTGGGATTTATAACCTTGATTATAAATTGAAGGTTCTCATAAGACTATTTAGATGATGTTTCCGTAGAAGAATCAACAGGAATGTTTTTGTAAAATCTTTAAAAGTTCGAAGTTGAGGAAATTTCACAATAATTTACAATACTGTTCAAGGTTAAGGCTTGAGATTATTTGACAAAAAAGAAAAAAAGAAAAAAAGAAAAAGAAAAGATTGGTAGATTGTTTGATTTAATATATTTGTTAACCCTTATTAATTTAATTGTTAAAATTTAATTATTAAGTTTTTTAAGTTTTTTTGTTTTAATTTAAATTTAAAAATAATAATTTTTTAATAATTATATTATAAAATATTTTATATTGAAAGGTATATTAATTATTATTGTTTAAAAATTTTTCAAAATTTCGGGAGGCCAACACATTTTACCCTCCTTTAGTTTCACCTCTCGGTTATGGATCCGAATGGGGTGTGTCGAGTGTGTGCAATGTCAGCAGTGGTTTTGTGGCGCTTAGTCAGCATTGAGCAAAACAAACAAGAATCATAATCAAGTGGATATTGATTCGGTGTGCCGCCCCCAGATATGACCTGCCATATAGAGTGTGTTAACCATTTGTGGATGAATGACTTGATTAATTGACAAGTGTTGCTGTTTCGCAATTTTTATTTTCTAAAAAAATATAGCAGTGACGATTTTACAAATATAATGTGACCTTATATTGTAGTATTTTACATAGTATGATGTGATTTAAATGAATATATGATTATAATGTTACACTTAATTTTTTATATAAAAATAATCAATCATATATATCATATTATTATTAAAGATGTGGTTATAACACATAAATATGTTGAGGTTACGAAAATTGTATTTAGTTTATCAATTTATAGTTTTTTTTAATAAGCTTATTATGATATCTAAAAATATATATTTATAAACTAATTTCAATCTATTAGGTAATAAATGTCCATTATTTTAAAAAATAAACTAAATAAAATTAATATTTTTAAAAATAATATTATGTAATTATAACCACACGAATCACTTGTGTGAGTTATTGTTGATGGTAGATTTTTTTGCAATTTTAAACTAAGTCTCATAAATATTTTTTTGGTTTAGACTAAATAATTTTTTTTAATAATTTAAATAGTTTAATGATAATTTTTTTACAATAAAAATAAAAAATTTTAAATTCAAATCAAATAAAATATAAGTGAATGTGATTTAAGAAGTGAAAAAATTGTTTTTCATTCTGTAACACTAAATAAAAAAATATTTGTTTTTGAGATATAAACCTATATTTGTCAGTCAACTAATTCCAATTAAGCAGTTGAGGATGGGTCATCGCACTGCCTCACCCATTGGGTGCTGAATTGAGCAGTGGTTGGCCAAGATCAATACTTTTTTTTTTTTTAGATCTGCAACAAAATGGTGCCATCATTCTAAAAGCAATGCCAGAAAGTTTCTCAGAAATCCTGAACGAGCTAGTCTATTGAAGTTTCAATCAAAGAATGGTACCAAAACACGCCCTCACGAGTTGACAACCCGAATCTAACCCACCAAGTAGACCCGGCCCAATTTTCAAAGGTTGAAAAAGGCTGAGTTGACTCCAAATTACCATATCAAACAGGCACTAAAGCAAGGTTATATTGGCAATACTTGATAACTTTGATCTAAGTAATACAATTGTCTTGGCAAAAACTCTTCTTAAGTCCCAAACTTATCCTAAATTAACATGTGAGCCCTTAAACTAAAAACGATATAAATAAGCTTCAAATCTATTGTGTAATTCAAATTAAACCTTAAACTCCTCACAAGATGTAAATCAACCTCCATCATTAACAACCCAATGCATTTTTAACCTCACATTGTTTGTTTATTTTTTTTTCGCTAGGCACTATTTTTTCACGGGGATGTTGACAAGGATCAAAGTACTTATTGGGCGATAAAAATTTGTTAAAATAGCTTATATGGCCTAAGAACACTTAATAAAAAAGGGGGGGGGTTCATGTGAATCATTTTGGCTAAATATTTTTCACCCAAAGGGTTTTTTGATCTACATTAACATTTATGTAAAAAAGTAGGTCCAAGTGAACCAAAAAACAAGAAGCGTGAGGTCACGTGTTGGTCTATTAATTATAACGGTTGATTTTCATTTTTTGAGGGATTTGAAGGTTATTTGGCATCATTTGAGGGGTTTGATGGGTTATTTATATCCTTTTTAGTTTAAGAACTCAGATGTTAATTAGGGATAAGTTGAAGGTTTAAGAGAGGGTTTTGCCAATTGTCTTTTGTGTTACCAAAATGATGAAAACAACTGAAAAACTATGGCCATAGAACAGACATGATACAAATTACAAGTCCTTATACTAAAATATGTTATTTAAATGTACTTATCATGAAAAAATTCCTCTTCGGCCCCAAAAGTTGTCCATGCATGATGTCCTTTAGCATTTACCAGCACAAGCGGAGCCTCCTATCACCCGTGATAAGTAAATTTTAACCTTATCCCAATACAAAAATTAAAATTAAAAATTAAAAAGCGCAAGTAATATGAATGCACGTGGCCGCAGCCTTCCTTTATATAACGCTTTTGTGTTTCAACCGGCTCCTCGGTGTGTCTTCTTTTTTCATGGGAAAGGACAGCCATTAAGATCCCAGACGCATAAACTTAGCAAATCAAATCTTAATTTCCGTTTCAATTTCTGGAGGAATCCATTTCATTTCGATTCTCTGTAAGAATCCTTCGATCGTGGGGATTGATTGATTGGTTGTGGAAGGAAAGAAGGAAGAGAAGTTTTTGCTGTATGTCAGTAGACTGTATAGAGGCTTACTGCCGTGGATTTGGAGAGCTCGCGAACCCCTTACAATGGCCTCAGCTTCGCAAAAGGCGACGCGTACTTCTTCCTGCTGCGCCGACTCTACTCCTGTCATCGCAGCAGTTGCTGCCTCTGCCAATGTGGCGCTTGAAAGGACCGTCGCGGATCGCCGCGACGATCAGCGTCCTGCCAAACCCACCATGCCGTTCCTGACTCATCCTGTTGATCCGATTCCTGAACCTTCCACTAATGCTTCCGCCAAAGGCACTCTCTCCTCTCTCTCACTTGTTTTGTTTGTAAATTTCATGAAAATGTGATTTTTCCGTATGGCAGTGATGTTAGATCGCGTGCTCTTTTGGCTTTTTTGTTTTCCCTTCCTCATGTTTACGAATAATCTTTATTAGAATCAAGGATAAATATTGATAAGAGTATGATGATTATTTATATTGTTTTGTGTCAAAATATTTCTTTCTTTTTTTTTTTTTTTTTTATTTAACTTTCCCCTAATTTCTGCTTGCTTCTTTCTCACTGATTTCGTTTTTAAGTTCTTTTACTTTCCTTAAGAACATTGAAATATTCGATCCGAATGTGTTACACTTTGTTTCGTCGACATGAATAATAGTTGTTATGTCTATTAGTTTAATGTAATTCAAGTTGTGATGCTGTTCGCTCATCGTTTGCTCATGGAGGCTAGATTCAGTGTTTGATTCTTATTGACTTGGTTGTCTAAGAAGTGCTGTCATACAGGGGTTCAAATCGTGACGAAAGCTCAAACCAGCCATCCTCTGGACCCTCTATCTGCTGCTGAAATTTCTGTGGCCGTTGCAACGGTCAGGGCTGCTGGAGCCACACCTGAGGTTGCTAACTAGATTATAATGCCTTTTTAAGTTTTTTGTTTGCCTTATGATCAAGTTCAAGTCTTTGATTTTAAGGCCTCTTGATGTTTGTAGATTGATTCTAGAATTGATCTGGCTAATACTTGTTTTTCTTTGTTCTTCCAGCTCAGAGATGGCATGCGCTTTGTTGAAGCGGTTCTGTTGGAGCCAGATAAGCATGTTGTGGCACTGGCGGATGCTTACTTCTTCCCTCCTTTGCAACCTTCCTTACTTCCCAGGACTAAAGGAGGGCCTGTAATTCCCACTAAGCTTCCTCCTAGGCGAGCTAGACTTGTTGTTTATAACAAGAAGTCAAATGAGACAAGCATATGGATTGTTGAGTTATCAGAAGTACATGCAGCAACTCGAGGTGGACATCACAGGGGAAAAGTAATATCTTCTGAAATAATTCCAGATGCGCAACCTCCCATGGTATGCCTTTGTTCTTTTCGCTTAACTTGGATTCTTGAGCTTTTTCTGTGGTTTATTTTGGAATTCTGGACATGCTTCAGTATACTAGAATTAGTTTTATAAATAAGCAATTGCTGTTTTATGCTTGGATGAAAGAGGTTTCAAACATGATAATTGTTTGTTTAAAATGAAAAAGTTGTTGCTTTTTTTGCATGAGTGATTTCATTCAGAATTAGCTACCTTATTAACTTTTCCTGATATATCATGTTGAACAATGTCTATTGATTAATGAATGTTGAGTAGCAAAATGGAATGTCATGTTTTTGGTCAGGTTGCACCAACCATGTTATCAGTTTTAGGCCATCCTCATGTCACCTAGCTTTTCACTGGGTCTAAAGTCCACCAGATGAATACCAAAGTTATGGAATTTTTTGAAATGTCAATGCCTTTTGTTATGCTATGTTTTCACATCCATCATCATTTTTAACTGCCATTCCTACTTCAAGCTTGATACTTGGCAAAATTTCATTTTCTATTATAATCTATATACTTTTTCTTCATATTACTAAGTTTTTCTAAATAGCTATGATTCAATTGCTAACTCTTTTGTTATCACAAACTCACCATTGTTGTTGGCATCATTACCATCATTGTTGTTATCTTTTGAACTCTTCTCATCTTCAGGATGCTGTTGAATACGCTGAATGTGAAGCAGTTGTCAAAGACTTTCCTCCATTTAGAGAGGCAATGGAGAAGAGGGGTATTGAAGATATGGACCTTGTGATGGTTGATCCCTGGTTGGTTTTATTAACATATGATTTTCTTTGTGTTAAGTCTATGAGTTTCTTTGAAATTATTTGATTCTACCATGCACTTTTACAGGTGTGTTGGCTATCACGGTGATGCAGATGCTCCTAGCCGAAGACTTGCTAAGCCGCTTATATTCTGTAGAACTGAGAGTGACTGTCCAATGGAAAATGGTTATGCTCGCCCAGTTGAGGGAATCCATGTACTTGTTGACATGCAAAATATGGTAGTGATTGAGTTTGAAGACAACAAATTTGTTCCACTACCACCAGCAGATCCATTGAGGAACTATACTGCTGGTGAAACTAGAGGTGGTGTTGACCGAAGTGATGTGAAGCCCATACAAATTATTCAGCCTGAAGGTCCTAGCTTTCGAGTTAAGGGGTACTATGTAGAGTGGCAGAAGGTAGTAGGTTTATATTATTTGATACTTTACTATGTTACTAAATTCATAAACCAGTTATTAAGTGTCTCTTTAGTTGTTTGCAGTGGAATTTCCGTATTGGTTTCACTCCCAGGGAGGGTTTGGTTTTATATTCCATTGCATATGTTGATGGAAGCCGGGGTCGAAGGCCTGTTGCCCACAGGTTGAGTTTTGTGGAGATGGTTGTGCCTTATGGTGACCCAAATGATCCACATTACAGGAAAAATGCTTTTGATGCGGGGGAAGATGGGCTTGGAAAAAATGCCCATTCTCTTAAGAAGGTTCAAGCACCAATTCTCCTCTAATTCTCCGTTGTTTTTCATTTTTGAATATTGCATGCAGTCTTCTTTTTTCTGATCTAGTTTAAAATTGGTATATAAAAAAAAAAAAAACTGCAGGGATGTGACTGTTTAGGTTTTATCAAATACTTTGATGCTCACTTTACAAACTTCACTGGCGGTGTTGAAACCATAGAAAATTGTGTATGTCTGCATGAAGAGGATCATGGAATTTTGTGGAAGCATCAAGATTGGAGAACTGGCTTGGCAGAAGTTAGAAGGTCTAGACGCCTAACAGTGTCTTTTGTATGCACTGTCGCAAACTATGAATATGGATTTTACTGGCACTTCTATCAGGCAAGATTAATACAGTTTATTAGCTAGGTTTTAGTTATATTGTTGCTGCAGCAATTAATATCCTGTATATCATTTCTGAACTGGGAAAATTCCTGTTGGATACATTTGTGAAAGTTTTAAACCATAATTATGGCATTTGAATTATGAAGATTCTCTTAGTTCTGTCTTTACAAGACTTGGTATCTGTCTCCTCTCTGAAACATTACCAAGGCATCAGTTAGCCCTGTTGCAATTCCTATGGTTTCTGAATGCTTCTTGAATATTTTGGATAATGAGTTACATGATATTTCTTTATTTCTACAGGATGGAAAGATTGAAGCTGAAGTTAAACTTACAGGAATACTCAGCTTAGGAGCATTGCAACCTGGTGAAACTCGAAAATATGGTACCATGATTGCCCGAGGTTTGTATGCACCAGTTCATCAACACTTCTTTGTTGCCCGCATGGACATGGCTGTTGATTGTAAACCTGGCGAAGCATTCAATCAGGTAATTTTAACTTCAAGTTTTTATTTGGTTAGTGACTAAAAATCTGGTAGATTCTTCACCATAATATAATTTTAATTGTCACCTGCTCTATAGGTTCTTGAGGTGGATGTTAAAGTTGAGGAACCTGGAGAGGAAAATATTCATAATAATGCCTTCTATGCAAAAGAGACATTGCTTAGATCTGAATTGCAAGCAATGCGTGATTGTGCTCCTCTGACTGCTCGCCATTGGATTGTGAGGATTACTTATTTTGGTTCCTGTCTTGCACTTATATGTTTGTAGTTTGAACTTTTAATTTTCTTAATTGTTTCTGTTGCTTCTGTGTTTTTCTTTCTTTTCCTTTTTTTTTTTTTTTTGGTGATAAACTTTCTCAAGTGAGTTGAATTGGATTTCCATTTATAATAAAGTAACATCAGTGTTTTTGGCATGCCTTCTAGTATACTATAGGAGTGTAAGGTAGCCCTTTCCCCTTCTATGAAATTGTACGTTCTTGCACTAAGTTTCAATTGAAAAGGTATCTTCCATAATTTACTGCAGGTAAGAAATACAAGAACTGTAAATAGGACTGGTCAATTGACGGGCTACAAGCTGGTACCTGGATCAAACTGTTTACCATTAGCTGGTTGTGAGGCTAAGTTTCTGAGAAGAGCTGCTTTCTTGAAGCATAATCTTTGGGTTACATGTTATGCACGTGATGAAATGTTTCCTGGAGGAGAGTTTCCTAATCAAAATCCACGTGACTCTGAAGGATTGGCTACATGGGTTAAGCAAGATCGTTCTCTGGAAGAAACTGATATAGTTCTCTGGTTAGTTGAATTCTTCCTTTTTCTTTATGTTTTGCAAATTTATTACAGAAGCATCCATTTGTATTAAAATGAGTATACTTACACAGCTGGTTGCCAACATAGCACTGAATGGTTTCACGTCATTTTTGGACAACTGGTTATGGAGAACCCCCAGATTAGTGTCGTGTTTCTCTCTCTCTCTCTCTCTCTCTCTCTCTCTCTTAAAATATGTTAGTACTCCCTGCAACTTTGATGCTCATGTTGATGTTTATGATACCCATGTATATTGAGACTGGTTATTTTACTTTTGCAAGCCCTTCCTAGTTTATGATTCAACACGTGAACTGCAGGTATGTTTTTGGAATAACACATGTGCCTCGGTTGGAAGACTGGCCTGTTATGCCAGTGGAGCGCATTGGTTTCATGCTAATGGTAATCTTAAGATTTGTCATTTGTGCTCTTGTCGTTACTTTTGTCTTTACCCATGTGCTATGGCTGCTATAAGTCCCTCTCAATCTTTTGTGATTTCATGTAAACCTCTCTTCTGGAGCTAAAAGTTAAGACCATTTTTAGCTCCTTAATTTGAATGTTTTGAAAAATAATTCGGCTATTTGTTATCATTTAACTTGCTTCTTCTGACTTTAAAACTCTGTGTGTGTGTGTGTGTGTATTGAAATATGATCTTCAGTATTATTAACTCCTTTCAATTCTATCACTTTTGACTTTGTGGTTACAGCCGCAAGGATTCTTTAATTGCTCCCCTGTAGTAGACATCCCACCGAATTCTTCTGAAATGGATACCAAAGAAAGTGACCTTAAAGACAATGGGTTATTCAAATCTACTCAGAATGGGTTGCTGGCGAAGCTTTAAAGTGCATGTTACGTCTGAAAGCAGTAGCTCTTTTCTTACCAACCAACCAACTAGTTACAGAGTGAGCTGTGGTCTTTAGTGAATCATAGAATGGCATTTGGGTTTGTCTTTGTGATTTGATTTGATAATGTCAAAAATGGTTCTTTATGATATGTGAATGCTGATAACGTGGTCAAACCTATCAATGACTGTTTAATCAACAAATTTCTATCTTGAATTATAATCATAACTGACTTCTATTTCGGTTTTTGACGAGAGTGAAACATAACATGGAGATGAGCTTCCAAGCTTTTCCACAGCCATCTCCGTCCCCTGCTATTTCACTTGTTTGATGTTTGGAACTTAGTTTTGCTCGTCTTCCACGTGGTGATCGTCGTACTCATGCTGTCCAGTTGATGGTAGACTTGATTTTTGGTTAACAACGAACTGCTTACCAATCACCAATTACAGTCCGGCCCACAAATCCGTTCCAGGGTCTTAAAGGAATGAACTGCTTAGGATCCGGAGACGCAACGTTTG